CATGACCTGCAGAATAGTTTGGTTCTCGAAATGCTTTTAGCAGAGAAGGGCGGATTTACAAGATGGTGGGAGGTCATTGTTGTATGTTTATTCCCAACAATACAGCCCCAGATGGTACAGTAACTAGAGCACTGGCAGGTCTCACTACATTAAGTAAAGAATGGGCTGAGAACTGGGGGGTGAATACATCAATGACTGTTTGGTTTGATCAAATGTTTGGTAAATGGAAAACTATTGTTGTAACTATTTTAGGCGCGGCCATCGCGTCTATGGGTATGCTTGTTCTTTGTGGATGTTGTCTTATTCCCTGTGTCCGAGGGTTGGTGAGCAAGGCGTTGGAGCATGCAGTTTCCCAACAGATGGTGAGATACAGCCCAATCCCGGACTCCAACCTAAGGAATGAAGAATATGACCCACCAGGCTTGGTGGAGGACGACGACGACGATTCAGATAGTTTGAGACTGGATGTTTTCCTAGAACTTTAAATGTCTAGTTTAAAAGTTATTGTAATGATTTTTTGAGTATTAAAGTCTTGTTTTAAGTATGATGTACTAGTTAACCGATGTTGCAGGATGTGATGAAGCAAATGTTCTTCACTATAGGCTTAGACTGTTGTTTCCAGATAGTGGGTAAACAGGTTAGGTACCATTGCTAAAGAGTAACGTTATACTTTTAATCATGGGGTAACCCTGATGAACCTGTATTGAATGAGACAATTTTTTATGTTTTTATATGCAAATCAACTTATATGCTTCAATGTGTGTGATTCATTTCTATAACAACATATCTTTTGTGAGTATGCGTGTAATATTTAGTCAAAGGGTGGATTGATAGAATAATTATTAATGACTAATTATTACACCCCGAAACTGTGTGAAATGTGTTAGAATGTGTGAGTGTAGGACCAGTAAAGACTATGACATTGAGCTACTATTTAGCAATGTGAGTAAGAGTTAGACCAGACAACAAAGAACAAGGAGAACTGTCTACAGGCAACTGAGAAACCAAGATAACTGAGGAATTTAGGGAGGAGAGAAACTGTTAGGCTTGGAAGAGTGTGTGTGTGTGTGTGTGTGTGTGTGAGAACTGATGGTCAGGAGAGCAGTTTTAAAGTGGAAAACTACAGCCTGCCTAAAGAGGGGAGGGATTTTTGTATGACGTGTGAGTATAAAAGATGGACTCTGAAATTGTGATGGCAGAATTCTCAATGAATAAATCTCTGAATAAATCTCTGACTATGCAGACCGGGACTCAGCCTTTTGGGAGACGCACAGAGACACTGAAATAGTTTGTTAAATAATTCTCATAACAGGTTATCAGCCGGTCCTGGCACCTTGGCATCAGAGCCAGATCGAGGATCCTGCGGTGGATGAGTGGTTTCGGCGCTCGGAAGAGACCTGGAGCGCTGCTCATGTACACCTGCAGCGGGCCATCAGGCGACAAAAGGCGCCGATCGTCACCGCAGTGAGGACCGGGTCTGGCTCTCGACCCGAAACCTGCGCCTTCGCCTGCCCTGCCGGAAGCTGGGTCGGCGGTTTGTGGGGCCATTTCAAGTCCTGAGGAGATTGAACGAGGTTTGTTATAGGTTAAAGCTTCCTCTTAATTATCGTATTAACCCCTCTTTCCATGTTTCTCTCCTCAGGCCGGTAGTAGCTGGTCCACTCCAGGAGTCTGAGGTACGGGAGGTTCCTCTGCCCCCACTGGACATCGAGGGGGCACCGGCGTACTCAGGCCGGTCCATCTTGGATTCAAGGCGTCGGGTGGGGGGCCTGCAGTATCTCGTGGAGTGGGAGGGGTACATTCCGGAGGAACAGTGCTGGGTCCCTAGGAGGGATTTCCACCGTAGTCATCCGACTCGCCCTGCTCCGTGTCCTTCTGGCCGTCCCAGAGGCCAGGTTCGGCGCACGGCTGGAGCCACGCGTCAAGTGGGGGGGTACTGTCATGAATTCAGCCGAGGCTGCGCCTCCTCCTTGCTCGGGCAGGCTTAGGCGTTCGTCGTCACCGGAGTACTAGCTAATACCGATCCATGTGTCTATGTTCGACTTGTTTTGTCTTTATTGGTCACACCTGTTTCCCATCATTTAGTTATGTCTTCCCTATTTAACCCTCTGTCTCACACTGTGTGTTGTGCGTGTTTGTTCATGTTTTGGTTGTCGTTAGTGTGCGGGTTTGTTCCTCCCTGCGTGGAGGTTTTGGACACAGAGCTAATCGAAAAAACGTACTTTACTCGTAGGTAAATAAATGAACAAAATTTTATCCAAAGCGACTTACAGTCATGTATACATTCTTTTGTGTATGGGTGGTCCCGGGGATCGAACCCACTACCTTGGCGTTACAAGCGCCGTGCTCTACCAGCTGAGCTACAGAGGACCATAGTGCACTGCGCTTTATTACGGGCAACAATTTTATAATAATAATAATAATAATAACAATTTTAGTACTCATCACTGCATTCTCTACCAGAAAGTTGGTTGGCCCTCTTTGATATCGCGTAGGTTCCCCCTCAGGAGACTGAAAAGATTTGGCATGGGTCCTCAGATCCTCAAAAAGTTATACAGCTGCACCATAGAGAGCATCCTGACTGGTTGTATCACTGCCTGGTATGGTAAGTTCTCGGCCTCCGACCGCAAGGCACTACAGAGGGTAGTGCGTACAGCCCAGTACATCACTGGGGCCAAGCTTCCTGTCATGCAGGACCTCTATACAAGGTGGTGTCAGAGGAAGGCCCTAAAAATTGTCAAAGACTCCAGCCACCCTAGTCATAGACTGTTCTCTCTGCTACCGCACGGCACACGGTACTGGAGTGCCAAGTCTAGGTCCAAAAGGCTTCTTAACAGCTTCTACCCCCAAGCCATTAGACTCCTGAACAGCTAATCAAATGGCTACCCAGACTACTTGCATTGTCCCCCCCCCCAACCCCCACCCCCTCTTTACGCTGCTGCTACTCTCTGTTTATTATCTATGCATAGTCACTTTAACTCTACCTACATGTACATATTACCTCAATTACCTCTGTACCGGTACCCCCTGTATATAGCCTCGCTACTGTTATTTTTACTGTTATTTTACTGCTTTTTTTTTAACTTATCTATTGTTTACTTAAGACTTATTTTTCTTAAAACTGCATTGTTGGTTAGGGCTTGTAAGTAAACATTTTACTGTAAGGTCTACACCTTGCGCATGTGACAAATACAATTTGATTTGATACATTGCTATGTTTTCATTTATAAAGCCCTTTTACTAAAAGTCCCACTGTACCTAACATCTTTACTAAACTTTAGACATACGAGTTACCACACCCGGTCTCAGGGATGGTTAGCGCTGGAAATTCCTTTGGTCTCTACTGAGTTAGGTAAATCAGCTTTTCTTGCACCTTATTTGTGGAACAATCTTCAAAATGTTCTTACATTTTATGTTTTGGTGCCTCTAGGGCAGGGCTGCCCAACCCTCTTCCTGGAGATCTACCTACCTGTGGGTTTTCAGTCCAACCCTGATTTAACACACCTGATTCTACTTATTAGCTGATCAACAAGACCTTAACTAGCTGAATCAGATACGCTAAATTAGGGTTGGACTGAAAACCTACATGACAGTAGATCTCCAGGAAGAGGGTTGGGCAGCCCTGCTCTAGGTCAATTCAGAAGGCTGATTGAGGACCTTATTACAGACTATCTTGTCAATATAATAGATCATATTTGATATAAGTTATTTCTCGTGAACTTCATGAACCTACATTCACTTCCTTGCTGGTGTGACCTTACCATGAGAACCACCACTATCATAAACTTGTGAGGTGAAATCGTAGAGAGAACATGGGGGCAGATCTGGGTTCACAAACTATGTCAAATTATTTCAGATACTTTAGCTGGGCTTGATTAAGCTTGCCTGGCGCAATGGAACCAATAGAATAGTAGCAAAAGGGGAAACCCCGCCCATCTGGCACTCTAAGCAGGCTAAAGCAAACGCTCAAAGTATTAGAAAGATTTCAAATAGCATTTGAACCCAGGTCTGGTGAGAACATAGGGGATGAGCAGTAAATTGTAGTTGGTGTAGTAAAGACCATCAGACACAGCTCAACCAAGCTGCAAGGTTCTAAGTACCCGACCCCAAACATTATTTTAAGGGAAACCACAACCCAGCATGTGTCAGAGCTACTTTGCACTTCAACCAACTGACACCTCACTCCCCCTGCTTTCGTTCTCTGTCTGAGAAAATCCTATTCTGGGCAGGGAAAGTTTTCCTTATTAAAATGCCTCCTTGACGACTGACATCAGGTCATTTAAGTTGACCCCCTGTCTGTCTCTCTGTCTGACTGTCTCTCTGTCTGTCTTGTATTCTTTGTCTCTCTTGTTCCTCACAACAGCTAGTTTTGTGTGATCCTTCAGAGATCACTGTGGGAAACGTGTGTCTGCCTGTGTGTGGTGGCGCCTTGGCAATGTGTTAAAGTAGTTGCAGTGCACAACTTCCTGTCGAACACATCTAGCCTATATTTAAACATGCAAATATTCTGAATGATGTTTTCAGCTTATTTTCTTCCATGCTGGCTCTCAAAACGTTGCATTTTTAAACGTTTCAAAGGTACAGTATTGAGGTGGAAATGTATTTTTCCCATAACATCAGACTATCAGTCTTCAAACAGTTTTTAACAAATCGATTTGAGCTTCAGTACACTAAATGGCACAAACATGGACACCCCAAAAACACGGACTTTCCACCCAGTTAGTCTAAACCCTGAAGCTCTCTGTCTGGGTTCTATAAGAGCTTTACAGAGCAGTTAACCCCCAAAATTGCTCCAGGACCATTGCACTGTGACTGCTTTCAGCCTGATAAAGATGTGTGTGTGTGTTACATTTTACGTTTGAGTCATTTTAGCAGACGCTCTTATCCAGAGCGACTTACAGTTAGTGAGTGCATACATTTTACCCCGTCTGTTACCTCAGGGATTTGATGGGAGAAGAGCAGAAGACAAATGTCCACTGTGACAAAATGATAACATCCTGTTATTCTTTCCTCCAAGATGGATGGCCTACCTTGAGGATGAAGCAGAAATCAGTTGGTGCTTTGTATTTCTGTTTGTAATCAGTGGTGGTGTAGATGTTGACTTTGTCAAACTGAATGAAGCACGCCAGGTCCCTGGATGTCTGCCAAGGGAGAAAAACATGAGAAAACCTGAATAAGTAGACTTTAGGTCATATTGTTGCTGTCTGATGAAAACATCTTATCTCTAAAACAGAGACTTTTCAGGAGTTGTAAAAATTACCATATTTTCCCATTAACAAACATAGAATTATGAAATTCAGAAGCTATTTTGAATAAATGTTCTTGGTCCTAGAGTCATGAAATGTTCAGAGTACATTGAGGGTTGTCACTGCTTTCAAGAAAAATAAAGAAAATAAAAAAGTTGGTAACAAATGGAGTTACTAGATTCTCATCAGACAGCGACGATATGGATCATATTATTGGAGATCCAGTGAGTAAGGATTTCCTAGTGTAGTGTTTTAGTCTGAAAGGTCCCAACATGAATGAATGTGTGCACTGTGGACTTCCTGAACCAATTGTTTTTAACCGTTTTACCTCCAGTTTTGCAGACACAAAATATACGTCTATATATTAGTTCATAAACTGCCTATACAGTATACTGTATGTACAAGACTATGTAATGACAAGATGTTTACTCAACTTGACGAAGGCCAAGCAGCCGAAACGCATCAGAGTTTGTCATCTTTGTTTCCATTGAACATAACATACAAATAATTTTTTATGTAATTTTAAAAATCAATTAATTATATGAAGAATGCCTTGATCCTCCTTTCTTTTTGCTGTGAGATCGATTTGATGGTCATTATGTCACCTCCTGTACCTTTGTTTTTCCTTTAGGCACATAGTATATTCCAGAAGCCCTGAGCAGGAAGTAGCGACGTTTCCACGATTTCTTCCCGTCCTCTCTCAGATACAGCAGCCCCTCCAGGTCTGGGACGATGAGAGAAGGACCATCGACATTTTCCTGGATTCAGAAATAGAAAATAAGGTGTGTGGAAGTGTTTGAGGGTTTGGATAAGCCTGATTTTCTCAAGAGGAAGGAGAACTCCTTCAATAAAATATTGGTACAGTAAATATGTGTACTGTATAGGCTACAGAGAAGACTACAGGTGTGTTTGTGATGACTCACCTTTAGCAGAAGTTCCTTATGGCTTTCTTTTATCTCATTCATACATTTTTTGTCTTTCTTCCATAGGTAGAATATCTTGAAGTTGATGTGAAATGACAATGTCAGCATAGGGATATCAATAATGGAACTAAAACAAAGAGCTTGGTTGCCAGTTTGTCTTTACTTAAAATCTTTTGTTTGGTTAAAACGTTGGCAGAAGTAGAGACAGCTCATTGGCTTAAATTAGAAAGCACAGTTAACTGCACTATTTTGTGTGAACTCTGGGTCATGTTCATATGGGCACGCAACGGAAAATGTTTTAAAGATTTCTGCAACAGAAAACAAAAATGATTTTTTGGGGGGTGGGTTGGAGAAGTTTTTCAGTTTGGTGCTTAATGTTTGGTGCCCAGGTGTCTACTGTACTCACCTGGGGGTCTTTGAAGAAGAGATATTTGTTGGGTCTCAGAAGGAAAATTATTTTGTTTTTACTGTCTCGTGTCCATGCAGAAAGAGGCTCCACTAGATATTCATGGTCTTCAAACCCCCTTTCTGCAATTAGAACAAAGAGGCGCTTCATTGCTTTATGAAAATGATATACATCAATCATACAATATCATATCTTAAATCATACCTACAATATACTACATGACAAAAAGTATGTGGAGACCTGCTCATCGAACATCCCATTCCAAAATCATGGGCTTTTAATATGGAGTTGGTCCCCCCTTTGCTGCTATAACAGCCTCCACTCTTCTGGGAAGGCTTTCCGTGTTGGAACATTGCTGCGGGGGACTTGCTTCCATTCAGCCACACAAGCATTAGTGAGGTCGGGCACTGATGTTGGGCGATTAGGCCTGGCTCGCAGTCAGCGTTCCAATTCATCCCAAAAGTGTTCGATGGGTTGAGGTCAGGGCTCTGTGCAGACCAGTCAAGTTCTTCCACACCGATCTCGATAAACCATTTCTGTATGGACCTCGTTTTGTGCACGGGGGCATTGACATGCTGGAACAGGAAAGGGCTTTCCCCAAACTGTTGCCACAAAGTTGGAAGGACAAATCAAATCAACCTTTTTACATCAGCAGATGTCACAAAGTGCTTATTCAGAAACACAGCCTAAAACCCCAAACAGCAAGCAATGCAGATGTAGAAGCACGGTGGTTAGGAAAAACTCACTAGAAAGGCAGGAATCTAGGAAGAAACCTAGGGAGGAACCAGTCTCTGAGGGGTGGCCGGTCCTCTTCGTCTAGAATGTCATTGTATGCTGTTGCGTTAAGATTTCCCTCCACTGGAACTAAGGGGCCTAGCCTGGAACATGAAAAACAGCCCCAGACCATTATTCCTCCTCCACCAAACATTACAGTTGGCACTATGCATTGGGGCAGGTAGCATTCTCCTGGCATCCGCCAAACCCAGATTTGTCAGTCGGACTGCCAGATGGTGAAGCATGATTCATCCCTCCAGAGAACGCGTTTCCACTGCTCCAGAGTCCAGTGGAGGCGAGCTTTACACCACTCCAGCCGACGCTTGGAATTGCGCATGGTGATCTTAGGCTTGTGTGCGGCTGCTCGGCCATGGAAACCCATTTCATGAAGCTCCTGACGAACAGTTCTTGTGCTGACGTTGCTTCCAGAGGCAGTTTGGAACTCGTTAGTGAGTGTTTTAACCGAGGACAGACGATTTCTACTCGCTACGCACTTCAGCACTCAGCGGTCCCGTTCTGTGAGCTTGTGTGGCCTACCACTTTGCGGCTGAGATGTTGTTGCTCCTAGAGGTTTCCACTTCACAATAACAGCAGCTCTAGCAGAGCAGATATTTGACAAATTGACTTGTTGGAAAGGCAGTATCCTATGACGGTGCCATGTTGAAAGTCACTGAGCTCTTCAGTAAGGCCATTCTACTGCCAACGTTTGTCTATGGAGATTGCATGGCGGTGTACTCGATTTATTCACCTGTCAGCAATGGGTGTGGCTGAAATAGCCGAATCCACTCTTTTGAAGGGGTGTCCACATACTTTTGTATATATAGTGTACTTTGACCGCACGTGATTGAGCTTGCTTGGTGCAATGGAACTAATGGAAGAGTCTAAAAAGCGCAAACCTGACCCAACTGGCACTTCAGCCAGGCTCAATCAAATGCTCAAAGTGTTTGACAAAAAACAAATACCACCTGGACTCATGGGGCGGCAGGTAGCTTAGTGGTTAAGAGCGTTGTGCCAGTAACTGAAAGGTCGCTGGTTCTAATCCCCGAGCCGACTAGGTGAAAAATCTGTCGATGTGCCCTTGAGCAAGGCACTTAACCCTAATTGCTCCTGTAAGTCGCTTTGGATAAGAGCGTCTGCTAAATGACTAAAATGTAAATGTAATGTAAATGACTCAGGTCTGGTGTGTGTGAGCCTCACCAGTCTGCAGCTCGTGGTTGGTCTCACACAGGCTCCAGTCCACGCTGCAGTCGCAGTGGGTCTTCTCAAACAGATTATCCAGCACGTCCCTGACCGTCTGTCTCTCGTCCACCATCAGTGTCTTGGAGCTGCCGTCGCTCATCATCACCTTCACCACCAACTAGCAGGAGGTACATACAAATAGCCATAGAAATATCATTACTTATTGGGTACACTCAATATGACTGCTGGCCCACAGAACGCTGACTTGATTGGGGATTGCCATTCTAGTAATTAACAATTATTACTAGAAAGAATTGCATATAGCATTTTTATCCAACTCAAAGTGCTTTGAAGGATACAGGGGTAGCTCATATCCTCACAATGTGAAGCTGTTATAGCTGGTTTAGTGAAATCAACCCAATATACCTTCTTAAATTTGGCTTCTTTTAGCTTCTCCAGAGCCAGCTTGATTTTGTCAGTTTTGGCTTGTGCTTCGGCCTCTCCCTGGAAAAATGTTGGTATATTGTTTGATTAAAAGAGCAGGAATGTAAAAAAGTGCTAAACCCACATGAAAAAATACTACAGTTTACTATAGAAAACTACAGTACTTACTGTAGAATTCTATAGTAAACTGTAGTATAATATAGAATACTATACTACACACTGTAGTATCCCTCGATCATGTGTTGTACTTACTATAGAATGCTGTGGTATACTGTAAAATACTATAGTAAATACTACAGTATTAACCAAAAAAAAACACTGTAGTAAATACTACAGAAATGTCATCAAAAACACACTATTTTGTTTAACTATAGTAAATACTACAATATCTTATTTGCATATACTCCGGTAATTCGCAATTTCTGCCACCCATAACTGAGAAACCTACATGCTGCGTATAGACCATATATTGTGTTCCGTACAGGTTATAGAAAAGAGCAGAAGCTCTGAACTATCCGTTCAGACCTCAGTCAGTAGGTTTCCTGAAGGAGAAAGCCTCCACTTCTATGTCAAAGATAATAAAACAAATAAACTACAGTAATGTCTGCAATAACACTACAGTAAATACTTCAGTATACTAAGTCCCTAAAAACACAACTACAAATACTACAGTATAATACAATCTGTAAAAAACCCTACATTCAAAACTTTAGTATATACTACAGTTTTACAGTATTTTTATACTATAGTTAACTGTAAATACTACAGTATAATACAGTATACTACACTATACTACAGTAAATACTACAGTATTCACTGTAGTGTTTTTGTGCATTTTAAACATAAATAGTTGAGACCTGAAGACTTGCATTAGCTCCCCTGGCTAATGCCTAGGGTAACACAGTCACAGTTACCGGTAGAAGTGGTTTGGGGGGTTCAGGAGGTAGAGCGGATGAGGAGTACGCCAGTGATGACATTTGGGACAAGGAGATAGGTGCTCTGACATTTTGTTGTGGGGTGGAGTAGCCGGACTTGTGCTGCTGTGTGTGGACATGTCCCGTCTTAGTTGCGTTCAGTCTCTCCTCTGTCTCTGCCAAATCTGACCCCAGATCAGCCATCAGAGCATCCAGGTCCTGATCCTCTAGCTCATTTAGAGATTCTGCCAGAGAGGAAGATGGGAGATGAGGGGGAGGGGTTTATCTTATCAACTAGGGATGAGGGTAAGATGTGATAACACAACCACTTCCCTTCTTATGAATACTTTTACCTTTCTAACTCATGTACTAGTCAAATGTGCTTAAAAAGGTTGCTGTTGGCAAGCAGGACTTAAAATATTTACAATATTTGTCATATGCATCAACTCTTAATTGTAAACCAGGTAGTTCGGGTCCTTGATACTGATTGGCTGAAACAGCATTTCAGCCGTGTGTATGAAAATAATAAATGCCGACGTTCTGTACATTACACTCTTAGAAAAAAAGGTTCCAAAAGGGTTCTTTGTCTGTCCCCTCTGTGGAAAGGGTTCTACATGGAACCAGAAAGGGTTCTTCAAAGTGTTCTCCTATGGGGACAGCTGAAGAACCCTTTTAGGTTCTAGATAGTACCTTGGAAATAATGTACGACGCAGCGGGATGAGGCGGAGCTGAGTCCTTTTGCGGAGTTCATTTTTCCAAGGTAATGTACAGAACAAAGGCGTTTATCCCGCTAATACCACAGTTGCCAAAGAAAACAATGATAAAGCACACATTTACCGATATAAATAAAATGTTTTCGTTGATATAAAAAAATGCATAAGGTAATTCATACTTTGTCATCTTTTGGTTGTTAGAGACGCGACCCAGTCGTTCGTTCGAATAGCTATATATCTAGAGACGTGACCCAGTTGTTTGTTTGATTAGTTCTATATCTAGGGACGCGACAAAGTCGTTAGTTCGATCACTATGCAGGCTGGTAATGTTCTCTCGTCATGTAGCCTAGCTCATCCCTTGATTGCACATGTGCACTTCTAACTAGATAACGCGACCCAGTTCGTTCTATATGTTCCATTGCAATGCTCGCTGGCAACGTTCTTATCCCTTGCTTGTTAGCTAGCCAAATAGCTACGGTTAACACAGTCACAATCTCTCAGCCAGAATAACAGCAAAGTAGCTGCATTTGCGTTTGTTTAAGCTGTGTTCTATTGACATTCATTTGGATACATCCATAAGGAGCTGATGATGTCCGATTTTGCCTGGCATAGCTTGAAAAGTTTGCCTTCTCATCAGGACACTCGACACTGTTCATTACAAGGAGATCGCATTGCATATCAAACACTAGGCTAGAAGCTAGCTAAATAGTTTGTTGCTAGCGAGCCTGCAAATATGACAACTGAATTAAAAACAAATCAATGCTAGCTAGACTAGCTAGCTAGCTAAGTTTTTCCTTATTGCAACTGCATTTACAATGTATCCAATTTGTATGTGGTTGTTGGTTTAGGTTTCTGTAACTTTGTACAGTAAAGTACAGTCTGCATGTGTAGGCGCATATTGCATCATGATTGCAAGGTGTCCCGATATGTTTTCCAACTGTCCCATTATCTGGTTTTAATGGCCATTCTAGAATCAGAAACGACTATTCAACAATGCTGTGGTATAACAGACATTATAAACTGGGTGGTTTGAGCCCTGAATGCTGATTGGCTGATAGCCGTGGTATATCAGACCATATACCACAGGTATGACAAAGCATTTATTTTTACTGCTCTAATTACGTTGGTAACCACTTTATAATAGCATTAAAGCACCTTGGGCTCCCGAGTGGCGCAGCGGTCTAAGGCACTGCATTTCAGTGCTTGAGGCGTCACTACAGACCCCCTGGTTCGATTCCAGGCTGTATCACCACCGGCCTTGATTGGGAGTCCCATAGGGCGGCGCACAATTGGCCCAGCGTCGTCCGGGTTTGGCCGGTGTAGGCCGCCATTGTAAATAAGAATTTGTTCTTAACTGACTTGCCTAGTTAAATAAAGGTAAAATAAAAAAAATAAGGGCTGAATGCTGATTGGCTTGCGTCGTGCCTAATAACAGCCCTTAGCCGTGATATATTGGTCATGTACTACACCCCCTCGTGCCTTATTGCTTAATATATTGGTCATGTACCACACCCCCTCGGGCCTTATTCCTTAATTATAAACTGGGTGGTTCAAGCCCTGAATTCTGATTGGCTGACAGCCACAGGTATGACAAAACTGTTATTTTTACTGCTCTAATTACGTTGGTAAACAGTTTATAATAGCAATAAGGCACCTCTGGGGTTTGTGATATATGGCCAATATACCACGGCTAAGGGCTGTGTCCAGGCACTCCGCGTTGCGTCGTGCATAAGAACAGCCCTTAGCCGTGGTATATTGGCCATATACCACACCCCCTCTGGCCTTATTGCTTAAATATACCACAGGTATGACGCAAAAATACTTGTTTACTGTTCTATTTATGTTGGTAACCGGTTTACAATAGCAGTAAGGGACCTCTGGGTTTGTGGTATATGGCCAATATACCACACCCACTTGGGCCTTTTGCTTCAAGATAACATTTCCACTGTTTGCTGATGTAGTGTTGCTTTATGTTTCTCACCGTTCAAATCTGTGAACCCAATAGAGAAGTTGTTTTCTCTCTGTGAGCTGGATGACATTTCTGAGGGCTCCATTTCATACCCAAGACTCTGTTAAAAAAATTGTTTCAGATGAAGAGTTTGCGTACAGAGATTTTAGTACAGGACCAGATAGAAACTGTATGTTTTACATAACACTAAAGCAGATAGAGAACACTCCAACAATGTGTGCAACATTTTTACATTAATTCTAAGAAAACCCTCCAGAAAAGTATTCTTCAAGGACCTTCTCGAAGACATTTCTAAGCTGTGCAGAACACAATCATAATTAAAACATAATACTTTGACTGCAAAAAAAAAAGCTGGTGCAGTTATTCAATCTGTTATGTAATGTTTTCATAAACGTCCCCAGTAGGCAACTCATACAGTGGGGAGAACAAGTATTTGAAACACTGCCGATTTTATCATAGGTACACTTTAACTATGAGAGACGGAATTTAAAACAAAAATCCAGAAAATCACATTGTATGATTTTTAAGTAATTAATTTTCATTTTATTGCATGACATAAATATTTGATCACCTACCAACCAGTAAGAATTCCGGCTCTCACAGACCTGTTAGTTTTTCTTTAAGAAGCCCTCCTGTTCTCCACTCATTACCTGTATTAACTGCACCTGTTTGAACTCGTTACCTGTATAAAAGACACCTGTCCACACACTCAATCAAACATACTCCAACCTCTCCACAATGGCTAAGACCAGAGAGCTGTGTAAGGACATCAGGGATAAAATTGTAGACATGCACAAGGCTGGGATGGGCTACAGGACAATAGGCAAGCTTGGTGAGAAGGCAACAACTGTTGGCGCAATTATTAGAAAATGGAAGAAGTTTAAGTTGACGGTCAATCACCCTCGGTCTGGGGCTCCATGCAAGATCTCACCTCGTGGGGCATCAATGATCATGAGGAAGGTGAGAGATCAGCCCAGAACTACATGGCAGGACCTGGTCAATGACCTGAAGAGAGCTGGGACCACCGTCTCAAAGAAAACCATTAGTAACACACTACGCCGTCATGGATTAAAATCCTGCAGCGCACGCAAGGTCCCCCTGCTCAAGCCAGCGCATGTCCAGGCCCGTCTGAAGTTTGCCAATGACCATCTGAATGATCCAGAGGAGGAATGGGAGAAGGTCATGTGGTCTGATGAGACAAAAATATAGCTTTTTGGTCTAAACTCCACTCGCCGTGTTTGGAGGAAGAAGAAGGATGAGTACAACCCCAAGAACACCATCTCAACGTTGAAGCATGGAGGTGGAAACATAATTCTTTGGGGATGCTTTTCTGAAAAGGGGACAGGACGACTGCACCGTATTGAGGGGAGGATGGATGGGGCCATGTATTGCGAGATCTTGGCCAACCACCTCCTTCTCCCAGTAAGAGCATTGAAGATGGGTCGTGGCTGGGTCTTCCAGCATGACAACGACCCGAAACACACAGCCAGGGCAACTAAGGAGTGGCTCCGTAAGAAGCATCTCAAGGTCTTGGAGTGGCCTAGCCAGTCTCCAGACCTGAACCCAATAGAAAATCTTTGGAGGGAGCTGAAAGTCCGTATTGTCCAGCGACAGCCCCGAAACCTGAAGGATCTGGAGAAGGTCTGTATGGAGGAGTGGTCCAAAATCCCTGCTGCAGTGTGTGCAAACCTGGTCAAGACCTACAGGAAACGTATGATCTCTGTAATTGCAAACAAAGGTTTCTGTACCAAATATTAAGTTCTGCTTTACTGATGGATCAAATACTTATGTCATGCAATAAAATGCAAATTAATTACTTAAAAATCATACAATGTGATTTTCTGGATTTTTGTTTTAGATTCCGTCTCTCACAGTTGAAGTGTATCTATGATAAAAATTACAGACCTCTACATGCTTTGTAAGTAGGAAAACCTGCAAAATCGGCAGTGTATCAAAAACTTGTTCTCCCCACTGTATATCATAAACAGTCTATAGAACTGGGCCACCTGCCGACCTGCAGATGATCTCCCCTGGCACATAACTGAACCCTGATGAATTTAGAGAGAAACTTATGTTTTCATGTTCGAAACCATGCTCAATGAGATGTTTAGCCCATTGAGTCATGGGGTAGGAAACCTTGGATGGATTCTGTGGTCTGTTGGTCTGCATGCTCCCAGAAAGTAATCAAAATGATGAATCAATCCAATCATGGTCAAAATTGAAAATGTAAATTCAGGAAGAATGATTAATTTGCATAAGACTGTAGACAGTGACACAATATTTGTGGCTCTTCAAAAGCATGGCTGCCAATATGAGGTTTAATTGGCATAAATACCCATTCCGTAGTGTTCGATTTAAATGTAATGCCATTTGGTCTAAGGACCACTCCTGTCCTTACAGCTACATTCATTAAAGGGGATGTTCCATATTTGATGGTGCCTCACCCTGAAAGTAGTCTATCGGCCAGGAGAAACTGTAATCCATAGTTTGGTTTTCTTTACATCCACTACAAACTTCAGCTAACATTATCCACCACTAGCAACTAAAAATCAATGGAAGTGATATGGCAGCATCAAACCAAATATTGTGTTGATTTAGTCATGACATTTTTCAAATTGCTCGGTTGTCCCTATCACTTCCATTGATTGTTAGCTAGCGGTGGCTAAAGTTAGCTGTAGTTTGTAGTGGCTGTTTACTGAAAACCAAGCCATCGATTACAGTTTGTCCTGGCCCATAGACTACTTACAGGGTGAGGAACCATCTAAGATGAAGTTGTAAAATACTGATATTCCCCTTTAAGAGGAGTTTACTGCTGAGTAAGATGTACAATGCACATAGGCCTTAGCCAGGATTCTATTAATGGCATCTAATGTTTCATCTGGCAAGCCACATACTGTACATACTAGTGTCATGGAGGGCCACATTGCTTGAGGACACCTTGCTATGACTTTAAAATCCATGACTTGTGTCCATTACTCAAACCAGATAATGTTTCTCGTCATTCACTTTACTTTATACAATTTATTTGACAGGGACAATGCAGAATAATCAACACCTCCTGTAAATGTTCCAGATTTAGCCCAAAGGCTAATTTCCCTCTGTAGTCCCTGGGTTACACCACGACACTGATGAGTCTCAACAAAAATGACTTTACCACAGCTGTTGATGTACACTACCAGTCAAAAGTTTGGACACACCTACTCATTCAAGGGTTTTTCTTTATTTTTACATTGTAGAATAATAGTGAAGACATAAAAACTATGAAATAACATATACGGAATCATGTAGTAACCAAAAAGTGTTAAACAAATCAAAATATATTTGAGATTTGAGATTCTTCAAATAGCCATAACATTTTGAAAATAAAGAAAAACCCTTGAATGAGTAGGTGGGAACAAACTTTTGACTGGTATTGTACGTCTGGTTTGTTCATTTCTGGTAGAACACTTCTGATGAATCAGGGGAAGTGTAGTTTATAAATAAGAGTGGTCCCAGTGAGAACTCACCTGTGCTAAGTGGTCCATCTCTCCCAGCAGGTCAGTGAACATGGAGTCTATATCATCCATCTGTTACAAATAACAAGCAGCCATATTTTAGACAAACGTCTACACACTAAAAGGCCATCAATGAGCCTTACATACATAAACATGACATCATTGATGTTGACATAAACACTACGGACCATTATTGTGGCAGACAGAGAATAGGCCTACACGACCAATGCCACTTCAACTTGTAAAATCATGATTAAAGGGATAGTTCAGCCATATTACAAATGTACATATTTGTTTCCCAACCTTGAAAGTGGTCTATGGACAAAGAGAGGCATTAATCCATCCTTTGCTTTTTGTTATACTAGCCAATGCCAACAACCGCTAATATTAGCTATTTCTAACCAAAAACCAAATGTAAGTCAATGTGCCCCAGTTAGCATGTTGTAAATGTCATGCCCATAGTACCACAGGGAGTCTGCAATGTGACAGTGTGGTATGTGACAGCTAATGCTTTTCGATCTGTTCCCAAATTAATATAGGTGGTTCAGAGTTCGTTTTGATATTTTTTTGGGTGTGGGGGGACAAAATCAACATGCACGCGATGGAGCACGCGCGCGAGCGGTGTGGTCAGTATGTAAGTGAAAAATGCACCAGTACATGTGTAGCAGGCAGCTCTGGCCAAATGGATCATCTCTCCAAGTATGCCGTTCAGATACGAGCACAGTCTCGCCAAAATTGAGAGGCCTTCTACGACCATTACTAGTTTTTTTTTTTTTTTTTTGCACTGGCTCAATAGACTCTACCCACACACAGAGTACTACACTGACACTCCAACGCACACACACACACACACACACTAAATATGCTCACACACACATGCATATTGACGCCACACACACACACACACACATACACACACTTTTTCATACGCTGCTGCTATTCTTTTGATTATATATGCTGATTGCCTCGTCACTTCTTCCCCTACCTACATGTACAGTCGTGGTCAAAAGTTTTGAGAATGACACAAGTATTGGTCTTCACAAAGTTTGCTGCTTCAGTGTTTTTAGATATTTTTGTCAGATGTTACTATGGTATACTGAAGTATAATTACAAGCATTCCATAAGTGTCGAAGGCTTTTATTGACAATTACATTAAGTTTATGCAAAGAGTCAATATTTGCAGTGTTGACCCTTCTTTTTCAAGACCTCTGCAATCCACCCTGGCATGCTGTCAATTAACTTCTGGGCCACATCCTGACTGATGGCAGCCCATTCTTACATAATCAATGCTTGGAGTTTGTTAGAATTTGTGGGGTTTTGTTTGTCCACCGCCTCTTGAGGATTGACCACAAGTTCTCAATGGGATTAAGGTCTGGGAAGTTTCCTGGCCATGGACCCAAAATGTTGATGTTTTGTTCCCCGAGCCACTTAGTTATCACTTTTGCCTTATGGCAAGGTGCTCCATCATGCTGGAAAAGGCATTGTTCGTCACCAAACCTTTCTTGGATGGTTGGGAGAAGTTGCTCTCGGAGGATGTGTTGGTACAATTCTTTATTCCTGGCTGTGTTCTTAGGCAAAATTGTGAGTGAGCCCACTCCCTTGGCTGAGAAGCAACCCCACACATGAATGGTCTCAGGATGCTTTACTGTTGGCATGACACAGGACTGATGGTAGCGCTCACCTTGTCTTCTCTGGACAAGCTTTTTTCCAGGTGCCCCAAACAATCGGAAAGGGGATTCATCAGAGAAAATGACTTTACCCCAGTCCTCAGCAGTCCAATCCCTGTACCTTTTGCAGAATATCAGTCTGTCCCTGATGTTTTTCCTGGAGAGAAGTGACTTCCTCACTGCCCTTCTTAACACCAGGCCATCCTCCAAAAGTATTTGCTTTACTGTGCGTGCAGATGCACTCACACCTGCCTGCTGCCATTCCTGAGCAAGCTCTGCACTGGTGGTGCCCCGATCCCGCAGCTGAATCAACTTTAGGAGACGTCCTGGCACTTGCTGGACTTTCTTGGGCGCCCTGACGCCTTCTTCCCAACAATTGAACCTCTCTCCTTTAAGTTCTTGGGCAGCAGGTAGCTTAGTGGGTAAGAGCGTTGTGCCAGTAACCGAAAGGTCGCTGGTTCTAATCCCTGAGCCGACTAGGTGAAAAATCTGTCGATGTGCCCTCAAGCACTTAACCCTAAATGCTGGATAAGAGCGTCTGCTAAATGACTGAAATGTAAATGTTAACAGAGGAAGATGATTTCATGCACCACCCTCCTTTTAAAGCTTCCAGTCTGTTATTCTAACTCAATCTCAATCAGCATGACAGAGTGATCTCCAGCCTTGTCCTCGTCTCACCTGTGTTAACGAGAGAATCACTGACATGATGTCAGCTGGACCTTTTGTGGCAGGGCTGAAATGCAGTGGAAATATTTTTTGGGGATTAAGTTCATTTTCATGGAAAAGAGGGACTTTGCAATTAATTGCAATTCATCTGATCACTCTTCATAACATTCTGGAGTATATGCAAACTGCCATCATAAAAACTGAGGCAGCAGACTTTGTGAAAATCAATATTTGTGTCATTCTCAAAACATTTGACCACGACTGTACATACTGTATTACCTCAACTACCTCGTAGCCCTGCACATTGACTCGGTACTGGTACTCCTTGTATATAGTGCATTCGGAAAGTATTAAGACCTTTTTACACATTTTGTTACGTTACAGCCTTATTCTAAAATGGATTGAATAAAAATAAATCCTCTACATCTACACACAATACCCCATAATGATAAAGCGAAAACAGTATTTTAAATTCTTATATAAAAATGTAAAAACTGAAATATACATTTACATAGGTATTCAGACCCTTTACTCAGTACTTTGTTGAAGCGCCTTTGGCAGTGATTACAGCCTCGAGTCTTCTTGGGTATGACGCTACAAGCTTGGCACACCTGTATTTGGGTAGTTTCTCCCATTCTTCTCTGCAGATCCTCTCATTTTAAGGTCTCTCCAGAGATGTTCGATCGGGTTCAAGTCCGGGCTCTGGCTGGGCCACTCAAGGACATTCAGAGACTTGTCCCGAAGCCACTCCGTGTTGTCTTGGCTGTGTGCTTAGGGTCATTGTCCTGTTGGAAGGTGAACCTTCGCCCCAATGTGAGGTCCTGAGCTCTCTGGAGCAGGTTTTCGTCAAGGATCTCTCTGTACTTTGCTCCGTTCATCTTTCCCTCGATCCTGACTAGCCTTCCAGTCCCTGCCGCTGAAAAACATCCCTCCAGCATGATGCTGCCACCACCATGCTTCACCATAGGGATGGTGCCAGGTTTCCGCCAGACATGACACTTGGTATTCAGGCCAAAGTGTTCAATCTTGGTTTCATCAGACTAGAGAATCTTCTTTCTCATGGTCTGAGTTTCTTTTAGGTGCCTTTTGGCAAACTCCAAGCGGGCTGTCATGTGCCTTTTACTGAGGAGTGGCTTCTGTCTGGCCACTCTACCATGAAGGCCTGATTGGTGGAGTGCTGCAGAGATGGTTGTCTTTCTGGAAGGTTCTCCCATCTCCACAGAGGAACTCTGGAGCTCTGTCAGAGTGACCATCGGGTTCTTGGTCACCTCCCTGACCAAGGCCCTTCCCCCCAGTTGCTCAGTTTGGCTGGGCGGCCAGCTCTAGGAAGAGTCTTGGTGGTTCCAAACTTCTTCCATTTAAGAATGATGGAGGCCACTGTGTTCTTGGAGACCGTCAATGCTGCAGACATTTTTTGGTACCGTTCCCCAGATCTGTGCCTCGACACAATCCTGTCCTGGAGCTCTACGGACAATTCCTTCGACCTCATGGCTTGGTTTTTGCTCCGACATGCACTGTGGGACCTTATATAGACAGGTGTGTGCCTTTCCATATCATGTCCAATCAATTGAAATTACCACAGGTGGACTACAACCAAGGTGTAGAAACAGCTCAAGGATGATCAATGGAAACAGGATGCACCTGAGCTCAATTTCGAGTCTCATAGCAATGGGTCTGAATACTTTTTTAAATTCATTGTAGAATAAGGCTGTAACGTAACAAAATGTGGATAAAGTCAAGGGGTCTAAATACTTTCCAAATGCACTGTATAGCCTCGTTATTGTTATTTTATTGTATTACTATTTCCTTTTATTTTAGCAAATGTTTTTCTTACTTTTTAACTCTGCATTGTTGGGAATAGGCTCGTAAGTAAGTATTTCACAGTAAATTCTACACCTGTTGTATTTGGCGCATGTGGCCAATAAAATTGTATTTGATTTTGAAAATAGCATAAGGATGCCACATGTGGTCTGTGGGCATGTTACTCCTGCACTGACACACTAAAGTGACACACTAAAGGAGAGACAAACAGGCCAATGCAAATTAGGCCAATGCCTAATCATCAACAATGATTTAGTGTGCATAGAGAGATACAGTGGTTCTCGATAGGCTACATATGTTGAACGTTCTTGTGGTCAAATGGTCCCTCTGTTTTATCATTGTTTTATAACTGTTTTATAATTGAATACAAAATCAATTACTGGCTGCTGCTGTAGAAAGACGTGTTCACGTTAAAGGGGTAATCTTATTCATTTAAAAGTCCAGAGTGGATGTACCAATCCCAGATTGCCCCTTTAACCAAAGATGGCTGTTGAAGTATTTCTTAACTGTTCAATGAGCTGTATTTGTGAGTATTGTACAATACTGTATAACTTTTTATTCACATTGCATCATTGCATGAAAATAATACAATGCCCAATATGAGTAAGTTCAATGTAACAACCACATAATTGTCTTTGGCAGTACTATGAAGAAGCATTAAAGCTCAAAACTTCAACCTTGAAAGAGTGTAAATCTAGACAGTAAGATAACATAACATACAATGACACTACAAGTAATGCTAAGCATCTATTCACAGACGTATTAAGGAAGCAAAGTCATGTCATTAAAGATAAAGATTAACAGCATCCTGTCAAAAAACCAGAGCGCTTACCTTTCTAGTCTAATGATCTCCTGAATTACTCTTCGGTAATAGATTAGATATTATATATTTACGTACATGCACCTTGCACATATGGGGTTGA